TGAGATATTATTGGCCTTGGTTTCCAGAGGATCTTAGTATTTATGAAATGGCTGAAAAAGGGATGACTTCGCTGTACGTCGGTGATCTGGAACCAAGCGTGACGGATTCTGAGCTGTTTGATGCGTTTAGCCATGCGGGTTATGTGAGCTCTGTTCGTGTTTGTAAAGATCCGACCACCTGGATATCTCTTGGCTATGGCTACGTAACCTTTGACTATCCTCATGACGGTAACTTTTTCAACAAGCCTCCTTGCAAGTGTTTATATCCGATTTAGCCAGGGTTTAGTCAGAGTAATGATTTCTGGAGTTGAAAGATGATCTTGTTACCACAAAATTTAACTCTAATCTAAACGAATGCACAACAATGCATGGTTTGTTTTATGTGTATCATATTCTTCATTAGGTAACTTATTAGAAAGTGGAAACAGTAGGGTTTGTTTTGAGAGTGATTTACATTTAGTAATAGAGCGAAGAGCGAAATATTTCAGGCCTTCAGGGTAATACGCTGCTAGAGATCCTGATTACACATTTGGTGTTACCATTTCTCTGTTTTTTGCTACTCGTTTTCTGATTTGATCGGTCGGTGATAGCTAAAAGAGCATTGGAGATGCTGAAATCGACTATTCTTAAAGGAAAACAGACTAGAGTTGTGCAGTATGTCCATAATCCCAGTCTTCGAAAGCATGGAGTTGGTAATATATTTATAAAGGTGCACATCAATCGCTTCTTCTTTGCAGGATTAATCTTGAAACATTGTTTCTTTGACATTGTTTAACATCTGCACTTGTCTCAGAATCTTGAAAAATCCATCGATCACAGCGCACTCTATGATACATTTTCTTGCTTTGGATCCGTTCTTAGATGGAAAGTGGCTACTGATGCCTCTGGTGAGTCGAAAGGTTTTGGATTTGTACAGTACAACACTCAAGAATCAGCTCAAAAAGCCATACAAATTATAAACGGGATGCTTGTTAACGAAGAGTTAGTATACGTTGGACCTTTTCTTCAGAGAGATTCTCAAAGCGAAAAGGCGATGTTCACAGAAATTTATGTCAAGAATCTCTCCAAGTCCTTGACTGACGAAGAGCTCAACACGATTTTTCGAGAGTTTGGACCTACGACGAGCTGTGTGATCATTAGGGAAGGTGAAGTTCTTCAAGGAAAGTCTAAAGGTTATGGCTTTGTTAATTTCGAGAATCCAGAGGATGCTAAGAAAGCTATTGAGACTTTAAATGGAAAGAAGGTTGAGGACAAGGAGTGGTTTGTTACGAAATCGAAAAAGGCGTATCAGAGGGAATCTGAATTGAAACGAGGTTTGAAAAACGCTATCAGCATGTCTCATGAATCGAACTTGTTGTGTGTTAAGAATCTGCGTAAATGCGTGACTAAAGAAATCCTTGAAGACTTGTTTTCTTCCTATGGAACTATAACATCTTGCAAGGTTTGTATACAAAAGAAATCATTTAGGTCAGAATTGGATTCAAGATTTAACATTTGTGAATGTGGACAGGTCATGAGAGACTCTGATGGAGTGAGTAAAGGATCAGGGTTTGTTGCGTTTTCGAAACCCGAGGAAGCTTCTAAAGCTGTAAGTTTTGCTCATAGACAATGCAGAACATTACTTGCAAGTTGCAACAGGCAGAGATGGTTAAAGTCTCCCTCTCTTTTGATTTCATGGATTCAGATGGAGGAGATTAATGGAGAAACGAATATTAGAAGACAAATCTATGTGGATTTAGCTATAACACTTAGAAATGCAACCCCAGAACATCAGAGAACGGTAAGCGAATGTTTTGTTTGCCATCTCTCTATGTAAAGAATATGCCACATCGAAAATATGATGAAATTATCTATTCATAAACCTATCTCTCTTTTTACAGATGCTTGGTGAGAATTTGTACCCGATGGTGGAAGAATTGGAACCAGAGTTTGCAGGAAAGATCACAGGGATGCTTCTTGAAATGGACCAAACCAAAGTCCTTCACTTGTTGGAATCATCAAGTGCTCTCGAATCCAAAGTCACAGAGGCAATGGTGGTCCTGACAACTGTAAACCACCACCAGCAACAATCGGAAGGAGATGCATCGGCGAAACACTCTGCTTCCGATCATCTGGAGACAGTGACAAAGTCTAACTCAAAACCCTCTCAAAGCCCAAAGTCACTTGACAAAAAGCCCAGCCCTCGAGCGCGTGAGAGGTCGGTCGTGTTGATAAGCAACATATTTTCATGATCTCGAATCCAAAGTCACAGAAGCAATCGAGGTCGTGATCAGGGCTGTGAACCAGAAGTAGAAACACGATGGAGATGTGTCGGAATCTGAGAATGACTGACTACTCAAAAGTGGCACTAACCCCAAATTTCATAAGCCCAAAGTCCAGTAAACTAGCGCGTGTAAACAATCGCATGACGGCGCGTGAGAGTTCTGATGTGTTGCTGACCAACAGATTTGATTCCTTAAATGAGTTAATGGAGAGTAATAAAAAAAAATGTAGCAAACGTTGGATTTGTATCTTGCAAAAGAAAAATACAACTTTTCTCTATGTATTTTACGGGTGCGTATATATACCACATTACCAATATGAATTGTTTTTTCTCTAAGATAAAGTTTAATGCACTCATTTTAATACAAAAATCCCCACTGTGGAATGAAATATAGCCCATAAAATATATCTGAACACCCAACTATTTGATGCCACGTAAATATGTATCAAAACTAAAAATATTTACCACCCGTGTTTCATACATATGGTCTAAAATATATACTTAAAATGAAAAAAAAAACTAATCATTGTCATTTACATTAAAAGATTTGTTATATATAGAACAATTTAATTTTTGTTCTAAAACCCTTAATTGTCTCAAATCCGCCACCGCCGCCCTCATTGCTTCAGTCATGCGTGCGTTTATTTTTTATACCAATTTTTTTCATCGTGATATGTTGATTGATTCTCTTCAAGGAATTTCAGGTAATTGGTTTTTTTTCCGTTTGCATGAGAGACGTTCGACGAAGTAATTTCAGATAGTTAGGACAAAAGTATTATAAACTCATACAAACTCTAAAATAACACTAGGATAGGATATTTGCAACAAAATTTTCTCACCATTTGTTTGGTTTCTTATTTCCAAATAAAATTAGTTGAATTTTAAACTAAACATGCTTATTCAAATAATTGAGTTTTATTTTTGTAAATCTAAATGTATGATTGTGTTGTTTGGTAGATGGCTCTTAAAAAGAAACCAATAGGTAAAACTGTTTCCAAGACGAAGAAATAGAAATTGAAATAGAAATTGGCGCATGTCGTAAATCTATATATGTCAGATTGAATTATTTGTAGTATAATTGTTTTTTGTAAATATCTTTATAATTTCTTCTAAATCATAATTTCATACGGAAGAAACGAACCATAGAAACAAACAAGAGATTATCTAAACTTTTGTTTTGCAACATATGTGTCAAGGTATATATTTGCTAACTTATCTTAAAAGAACTAATTTAGATTAGATAACATATATGCATATTATTCTAACATAGTAAGATAATGTTGACAAATGTCTTTCACAAATCAGATTTTGTTTTTACAAAAATTACTAAAAGCATAGAGATTACGTAATTACTCAATTGTCGTCACCCCTCAGTTTTCTTAATGCAAAAGAGAAAAGAAAAGAAAAAGGTATATATATCACATGACACATGTTCAAAAACCCTAAACTTCGTCTCTTCTCCCCAAATCTGCCGCCGC